CACTAGGTTTTTTTTCTGAATTAATGACCGAAGAAATTGCTGCATGTCTTCGGATTACATCTCTGGACTTGAGGGGTGTGCTCTAGGTCATTACCAGCGTAAACTAGAGCTGTGTGGGTTGTCCGATTGCCCTTACAGACTGCCTGCAGATGTATGGAAAAACGATCCTCGAAAGTGGCCTTCGGTCGATTTTGGCAGCATCTACGTCTATCTTCTGGAAACACTAGGTGAATACCCCACTTGTCACAATAATATTATCATGCCAATGCATATATGTGGTATTTTAGAGTTGACTATATTGATTAAGGCAATAGATTATGATATTCTGGTTGCACCTCGTGTGAAATGGCGAATACCGGAAGTACGGTGTCGCCCTCGGCCCAAAACCCGTATGTGTGTGTGAAAGATGCCTCCGGTCGGATGTGATATAAAAACAAAGCGATTATTTTTGTTGTTGTAAACTCACGTGGATTAAACTACATGTATTAGTGCTTTCATTTCAATTCGCGAACATATGATACATTAAATGATCGTGAGGATGATGATTGAAAATCGTTTGTTTGAGCCGGGCTGCATTTCCTGATGAAAAAACATAGCGATGGTTTTGTACTTACACCTACGTGAATTAAACAACATTATTTTGTTAAATAAAAACATGGTGATGTTTTGTAAATAATTACATGTCTCTTATTTAGCATAGAATATGATCCTATCCGTGACATATAGATCTTAACAAATATCCGATCAGATACCTGTAGATCTATCAGCTGTTTATTTCACATGAGTTCCAGTGTGTCAGCTTTTCACGGCTCCCCCTGGTGGATCCATGATCCATTGCATCTGGTTTCATTGAAATTACATTTATTTATCAAGGGGGCGTATCAAGTCCTGCCGGGGGGTTTTCCTTTTCAGCAGGGGCCCACCCCGTGCAGATCACGGACCCGCACGGGTAGGCGTCTGAAATGAAGCGCTTCATCTGTACATGAAACACACACACACAAATCTACAGACTTACTCCAAACTGCCAAATATATTAACACACTCTCACTCTCATATACTCTTTGACTCTATTTTGGCCTAGTAGAACAATAAGCAACAGACTTTTACTTTTTTATAATTTCTACTGGATCTTGGATCTTAGATCTGCGCATGCGCAATACGGGTCGGGGATTGACCAACCGGCTCCCACTGCTCTGCTGTCTGTTAACGTTGTTAAGAGTGGTGGGGGCGGGGAGGGAGCGGATCGACAGCTTGAGCAGCTGTCAACTCAACATTGTAAATAACCAACCAAAAACGATCGCCGGTTCATCTTGTTTTGGGCGTGAGAATAGTTTAGGTAGCGTGAGAGCGTGAGATTGAGAGTGAAAGCGTGTGTCACACGCCAGATGCGTGAGAGTTGGCAACCCTGCAAATATACCAAAAGATAAATGTAAACAACAAAAGAAGCGATCTAAATGTGTATTTTCTGGTTATTCGACAATGGCTCCTCAAAGTACACGCCCCATTCCTACCGTTAGAATATCACAAGTTCCCCGGTGTAACCAGTTAAACGGCAACACCGGCTGCTGGAGTGAAGGGAGTGGCTCGGCCGGAGGCCAGACAGCTGATCGGAATCAGGTAATCAGTGCCGGAATAAAAGCATGTCGTAACCTGGATCTGGGCGGTTTTGCAGTAGGCGGGATCTTGGAAGGTCGCCAAAGGACCTGTGAAGGTTCCCACACGGGCAACGTTGGAGACCCGTGTATACTTTGTTTGGAGCTAATAAACGCCTGTGATAAACCAACCTGCTCTTTCCATCCCTATTTGAACCTCACTCCTCACATCCCAAGCTGCATCCCCAAAAAGTGTATTATGTTGTTACATCGTTTCAGATGTTATGTTTCAGTTGTGCTCTTGATAAGCCATTTAAACAGTAAAAACACGTTCAGTTTCCTTTTGCTTTTTGTGTCTCCTGTTCACCAAAACATACCCATCTGTTAAGGAAAAAGAAAGTCATCTAAAAGTAATCTGATTACGTCTTTTTTTTCTGCACAGTGTAGAGTCTTGTTGTGATGAGAGGGATGGAGGTATTTAATAAAAACCTTGCTCGCTGGAGAATAGCTACAGAATTAAGTCCTGTCACAAGTTAATCGGAGAGGATCACAGCTGGCCACGGATCTCGATGCTGCATTCGGGCTGTGAGTAAACAACTTGTGTCTTACTTTTAAGCTGTCTGGAGGTATAGACAGCTATCAAAGCTACTAAACATCACATTAACAACGATTTAAAAATGAAAGTCGGAGACAAATACATATTTGAAATGATTTATTCACGTTTGCAATGTTTTGAACAGACATCCCCAGTCACCTCATTGTCATGTTGTAGTCCTCGCTGTACGCGTCCGGATATCGGCATCGCAACCACAACCTCACACACTGGTACTGAATGTGCATCAAAGTGTTCCTATGGAGCCAAATAACACTATTTAGCATTTTGCCTAATCATTCCTGTAGCTTCTTGGCTAAGCTAACACTGTGATGCAGTTCCACCAAACACAAAAGTAATATATAAAAAGGATAATATTGGACTATAAATGAATAATATTACACCAAATAAATAAGTAAACACATATATATATATATATATATATTCATTCACTGGCCATTCATTTAGAAAATGTAACTCCAAAAAGACAAGTAACACTATTTAGCATTTTGCCTAATCATTCCTGTAGCTTCTTGGCTAAGCTAGCACTGTGACGCAGTTCCACCAAACACATAAGTAATATATAAAAACAGAGAGATTACATACCTTTCCCGTGGTGGAAGTTCAACATCCGAGTCACTACTGTCCGGATCCAGGTCTGGCTGGAGGAGATCTTCATCATCCGACGAAGAGTCATCTGGTATGATCATAGCCCCGCTATCGTCAGCTAGCATCTCTAGCACCTGCTCGGTGGTGAAGCTCTCCCTTCTGGCTGCCATTATTTGCTAAAATGGAAAGAGGATACACAAGAAAAAGATCTAAAAGCAAAGAAATCAACATCCTTGAAATGTGCTCTGTTACCTGTTACCTGCTATCGTCGCTGCGTGCTGTGGTGCTGTCCTGCTGTGGTGCTGCGTAATGCGTAATGGAGCGGGTGTAGTTTATACTACGCAGGATCATATCTTTGGAACCCATTTGTCGATTTGGGTGATTGACACCTTTTCTGAACCGTTAGAGCCAATAGAATCGAGTGACAGTTAGTAAGTCCCGCTAAACACTTACGTCAAGTAGAGAGAGGTTTGCGTAAACAGCACGTGAGACAGCATTAGCTCGGGACTGCGAAACGTTATACCTACTCTGCTACCATGAATGTAATGATAGATTATCAGGAACAATTCTAAAGTGACTAAGAGACATTGGATTAACCTTAAGCAGCGTTGTTATACCCTTTAACATGAGCTTTGAAAAACAGCAACGGTAAAACATAATTATTGTTATGGTTTTGAAAACTTGTTTTTTTTCTTCTCTGTTCTGGCTGCTAGCTCAGTGAGTTCGTGTCCTACAATGATGAGAGTTATAACAAAATAATCTGTGGAGTATCAGCTTTCAGATGATATGTAGTTTGTGCAGAAAATATTAAGTTTTAAAGATCGTTTTTTGCTAGTTAGCACCGGATGTAGCATCTGCCCGTTTTAGCTAAGGGCTCATGCTAACGCTTATTGTGAGACTTGTGTTTTGTTTCGGTAAAAATGGTTCGTATCGTCAGTTAGCTGAGATTCTTCTCGTTAATCAGGTATAACACATTAATAGGTTTTTAAATATTAAGATGCCCTGAGACACAGTGTCGTGAAGAAAAAAAACAGGGTCACCGCCGGCGGGGACCTTCGGGCTTAACAGGTTAACCAACACCTCCAATCTCGTCTCATTGATTGGACTCCAGGTTGGCTGACTCCTGACTCCAATGAGCTCTTGAAGAAGTCTTTAGCCTAGGGGTTCACATACTTTTTCCACCCTGCACTGTGAATGTTTACATGGTGTGTTCAATAAAAACATGAAAACATATAATTTTTTGTGTGGTATTAGTTTAAGCAGACTGTGTTTGTCTATTGTTGTGACTTAGATGAAGATCAGAACACATTTTATGACCAACTTATGCAGAAATCCAGGTCATTCCAAAGGGTTCACATACTTTTTCTTGCAACTGTAATACAGCTACACCGTGTACACTCGCTCTATTTGTTTTTGCCATTGTAGACAAGTTCACCATAAGCAATTGTTGACTGTAACGTCTATGCCAACCATCATTTCTTGTAATGTATTATACTTTAATGGTTCTGGCAACCACAGCAGCCCAAATATTAACGTAAATGTCAAGTTATTTTTTTATAGTGTACTTATATCTGTACATTTCTTTTCAGTTTGCTTGAAGAAGTGGCTTAACAGACAGAGATGCAGGCCAGATTGGGAAAGGCTGGACGCAACACAACGGGAAACATTATGGACATGAACAAGGAAAAACTAAAAACACTTTCTTTGTTGCTTTTTTCTTATCATACATAGTGTTACTGTTTTTGTTACCATTTAAATATTGAATTCTATGTATTACGGTTTTAGATCATATATTTATTTTGATGTATAGGTTGATTTGCAGGTTGGTTTTTATTTGTATGATTATTGTATTGTTACTGTGTATTTTATTATATTAACTAGCTATTTATTAAATTAAAATACTGTTATGAACACTATACAATGTCTTTATTTTTGGTAGATACCAGAATACATGACACAATGAATCTTTGTAATATATTTATGTTCTCTGGTTTAAATAATCATACCAGTATTTAATGTATGCTGGTCACCTGGAATCCTGGTAAGCTCCCAGCAGGGTATATTTAATACTATTATTAAAAATAAACTGGTGATAGATGGATGCTGGTGACCAGCCCAGCATAGACCAGCATACTATGCTGTTTTTTTTAGCTACCAGGTTTAGCTACTTCATCCAGTGGCCTACAGTCGCGAATCGCGATAACAGTGACGACATACCTGCTCTTCTGAAGCCACGCGGCCACCTGCTGGCTCAATGTCCTCGCGCCCATACAGCGTGGTGAAGAAAGGGTGGTAGAAAGAGAGGTGTGGTAACCTCCATGTAGGGGTTTAAGTGCAGTCGACAGTGGGTGTTAACACTGGTTAATGTGGTACAGTCAACAGGCGAGTCATTTCCCCGCTGCGATGCTGCCGTCCCATTACAAGTGAAATTTCAAGGAGCAGGACCAGCGGACGGTGAGTGGCGTCATGGATAGAAGTTTCTATATCAACAGAAATGTTTCCGTAACTGCTCGTGGCGGACACTTTTATTATGTTTTTAGCGTAATACATTACGCTGTCTTTGTTTATGTTGTTGGAAAGTCGTACGTGCTTCCGTTATGTTTATTAGCCGATATTGCATTACCGATACATAGCCTGTTTATACTGTCGCGAGGCTGCTGTATGTGATTAGCGTTAAACGTAATGATGCTGGCGTAGTTAACGTAGTTGGCTCAGTTCGCAGTTGAAACGTAGGTAAAAATAAGCCTATTCATGTAGAGAATGAACATGGTTTTCTCTGTTATAACCAGCACACGCATTTCATAACTCCACAAAAGTTCCTAATGTAACTTACTGTCACTGAAACAGCCTGTGGTCATATCTGGGCTATCGCTTTAAAACGTCCCTTCAGAATACAGCATTCTTTGGCTGCTTTATTATGGGTATTGCACAAAAAAAGAAAACTCTTCTGCCCTTCAACTCACACAGGCACACCTGTCCTGTCAATCATGTTTAGGCAACACGATTTAATATCCGCTCTGCTGTAAGTATTGTTTTCAATTTGAAGTAGATGAATATAATGAAAGATAAGAAAGAGGTCTGATTGTATAGTGTATGACGGAAATAGAAGCTAGGTCAATTGGATTAAAACAAATAGCGTGAACCTGAATAAAGTCCTGCTCCCATTGTTGGACAGACATTACATTCAAACATGTTACCTCGATCACTGCACTATAATGTAATCCATGTCTGCCAGTGAGTTGGAACAGAGCAGGGGGGAGCTGCCTGTCTTTGCTAAATATAAATCGAAGGGTGACCTTCCAGTGAATTCTCTTTAGATGTACAGTTCCTCTGCTTCCCCGTTCTCTACTATAAACGCCCTACCTCTTTTGTCTCTTAAACATTATTTTGGCAACAGAGCCAGCCATAGTCCAAATGCAACTAGAGAAGATACAATGAAACACAAAGAAGTGAACAACGGTGGAAATAGGGAATCAAACTTGCAAAAAGTACATAACACACGTTTTAGTGTATCTGTAATAGTTTGTGTTGCCCCAAGAGGTTATTAGATAGTAGCTCAAGTAGACTTTATTTGACACTACCCGCATTGTTGGCCATGTATGGTAACTACAGCACAAAATACTGCTGCTGAGTTACAGTTGACAGATGAACATCTCATATACAAAAATGACTGTAAATAACATCTTACATTTAAATAAAAATAAAAACGGTATGCTGGGATTAAGTCATGTAAACCTAGAAACATGTTTATATCTAACCTAGAAAGTAAAAGACACAGCAGTCACTTTTGAAAAGTAAGATATGAAATTCTTGTGCCAGAGTTACAAAATATAGAATACACAGCAGCATAATAATAACAATAGTAACACTTATAATAAAACTCAACACTAACAGTGCAGTACAAAGAGCAAATTAAACACATTACTAAGAACATATCAATTCACAAATAATGCATTTAAAAAAACGAGGGGCGTTTGTGATGAATGATATGTGTGAAAAAGTGTATTTTACTAAATACTTCCGAGTGTATAAGCATTGTCTAATGATAGTGTTGGGGACATATTTCCCAAGGCCCATGTATGTATCCGAGAGAATGATCAACCTTTTGCATGACAAGTTAACACTATAACCTCAATCATCAGCTGCTCAGTGAGGGCAGTACAGACTGAAACTGGGTCAAAGTGATGGGCCCAGGGAAATATTTCCCTAACATATAGTATTACTATAAAACATCCCTCGTTACGCCCAGGTCTAGGGGAACCTAGGCGCAGCACAACATTTACACTCTTCCCACTCCCAAGAACACCGAGACAGAGAATGCCGGTCGGTCATTTTAATTACCAAAGGTTTTACAGGTTTTCCTGCAGGTCACCCTTGAAAAAGAGATCTTTTGATCTCAAGGGGCTTCACCTGGTTAAATAAAGGCTACAAACAAACAAAGCGGCGCAACAACCCACAAAACAAACTAATCTCTGAACACATAAATATTGCCTAACAAATAAGAAAAATAAACGTACAAGGTTCTTACTTACTCTGACGTATAAACAGAAAAAACGAGAATTGGGTGGGTTTCACACTTTCACACAAATGAAAGCGTCCACAAGGACAGGTTAACGTAGTTTCTATTTCTGAGGTTTCAAAACAAGCAAGAGGACCGGTGTACAGTATAAGTACACCCACAGTTAGTGATGGCAGTTTGACACTGAAGCTTCGAACGGAGCTTCAAATCTGGACTTCCTATTCCATAGAAGCAGTGCTTCGAAGCTTGCTTCAAATCACGTGACATGTGACGTCCGAAGCAGCAACTGCTTAATTTCCTGAATGAATCACTTGACTGGTTCGCGGTCCATTCACGCGATTCAATGCACTGCCTCGTCTCGATTCTGACAGGTTGAAACAGTTTCAAACTTGAGTGCTTCAACACTTTATGCTCTAAACAATGCACAATGTGTGGGTTGTTGCCGTAGTTTGCGTTGTTGCTGTTGAGTTGTTGCTGGTATTGCATTTGAATTGTAGTATCATTATAGAGCAAGCCAGGAAGAAAGATAGGTCGTTCTGGGAAACACTTTGAAATGTGGAGAAGTTGTGAACAAAAAGACAATTATCAGTAATATGAAAATATTTCAAGGAATAGATAGCCCAGTGGGTAAAGCCGGCGGCCCGAATGCGGCGATGTCCTCCGCGCAGCTGGTTCAAATCCCGGAATGGACGTATTTTAATCATTGCTTTTCAACTTTAATAACTGATAAAAGGCCCTCTCCGCCCAAAAACATGTCTAGCACTCTCTAGTCTCTTCTCAATAATCCAATACACACAATTATCAATCTTTAATTGCAAATAGAACATGATATTCAGTCTAAGTGTGTGTGTGCATCGAATATTTTTCAAGGCAAAGATACGTTAAACCCACTGCAGCCTTGCACTTCGCCAGGAGAGGTCGCTGTAACTGAAGCTTCGAGAAATGAACCTATTTCCGACACAATTGTCCAAGTGGTTTGACGCTTCATTCAAAGCTTCATTTTGCCATCACTACCCACAGCACAACAGAACAGATATAAATACGCAACAGTGTTGGGAGTAGTAGTCAGAGGGAGGGCAGAAGGACTGCATGGCTGCAGCTTAAATGCTCCCCTCTTCTTCAGGTGGACCAATCAGCAGGTTGAAGGCAGCTAATCAGCCAACGGGCACCACCTGCTTGCTCACACACACAGACACAGGAGGAGGGGGAAATATCTGCACTCAAATGACATAACGACCCAGGGTCGTAACAATACTGATACTCGTTTTACTGATAGTGTTGTAAATGAGGCTCGATAGCAACACACAGCAGAGCTGCTGGGTTTAGGTTCAGAGTGACTTGTTGCTGTTTCTGAGCCTTCTAAAACATTCATTAACTGTTAGCTGAATTATTTACTGTGGTGCTGACTGAGTTACACACCAGCGTAACCAAGTATCCTGTGTGTGTGTGTGTGTGTGTGTGTGTGTGTGTGTGTGTGTTTGTGTGTGTTTGTGTGTGATTGTACACACAACAGGAAATGCGTATTTTTTGGAAAAACATTTTGGCAGTGCTGCTTCTTGTCGGAGGATTGTACTACATGAGCCAATCAAACTTGCTTATTGCTGTAAGTACACACAACCTATTTTATAATGAGACTTGAAGGTGTGGCCTTAAAAGAAAACCTCAGCTGTTCTGCTGTTGCTTTACAAAGAGCAAAACATCAGAGGTTAATCTCTGTGTCATGCTCTTCACTGTAATGTAAACCGTGTCATAATGCTTCATCACAAAGCAGGGGAGGTCATGTATGCAGATTCTAATCAAACATGCTTGTATTTGTTTTGCAGGGCGAGTCACAGAAGGTGATTACAAATGAGTTAACGTGGAGCGTACAGAGGCTGGTTAGTAAGGAGTCCTGGGTGGAGCAGGGGGATTACCTCCCTCTCAATGTGTCCTACCAGCTGCTGGCTGGAGCACCATCTACTCAACAGAGTGAGTATCATAATGTCGGACCCTTTTTGTTCATATAAAGTTAAAGTGATGCCATTTTCATTAACTGTGAACAAAAAAAAACAAAAGGCTATTGAAAGAGTTGAAAATAAAAATGGTTTCCAAATCATCGTTACGCTTTCTAGGCGTGCAAAGTGCTAAAGTGCCTTAGATCTGACCGAGAGAAATATGGAATGCATTGTTGTACACATCCCTTCACATTGCATATATCACAATCACGGTGCATCGATGATGTATTCGTGAAGGTTACCATCGTGCCCTCCACAAAATCCAATGGGATTTTTACATTGGTTTTCAAAAGAATGGCAGAAAATAAATGTATGGCACAAACACGTTTATGATACTTAAATATCTTGAAGCTTGAATGCAAAAGCTAGAAGTAAAAAGCTAACGTTTTGCTATAAAGGAGCTACATCACGGTCACATACCAAACGCACCCAATTCAGGCAGATCAGGTTACACAAACACTGTTTTGCATTTCACATGGTGAAATGCAAAACCACGCTTCACAGTAGCATTTAAGCTTCTAAAAAGATATGCCAAATAGATTCATTAGTAGGGATCAAGTTGCATGCATGTTATAATTGTAATGTATATATAATCCAATGCCAATATGTGTCTGTAGTATATTTCTATATGTATGGAGCTTAGTGAGATTGTATATTTTTTTTATATTGTATTCAATATTTTCTTTATATTGTGCATTATTAAGATACTTTAGTGATATATGTCCTTTCTATTATGAGTTTTTATATACTTGCTGCTAATATTAATATGAATTGCTTTACAAATATGTGTAACTTGTGTAGTGCTTGACAACACTGCTGCTGTATGTAAATCACCTCATCCTAGTTTAACGCATGGACTTCACACTTCTTTCCGGCCTCAAATAGAAAGCGTTTTTTTCAAAAGATTCAATTCAAGTCCTTTTAACTTTTAGCCTTGTGCATGGTGAAACATGATTCAACATTACAACTGGGTTTACAATGCACAGCCTTTAGATTGATGTTCTTGAATGATACAAAACCCACCTATCTCACTGTTGCTTCCCGACATGTCTCAGGGTTTTTATCAGTAGGACTGTCCTCTGTGAAGAGGGCGAAGGGAAGCTATCTCATCCCCACCCTGCAGTCCCTCTTCTCCCAGTCTTCTCCTGAAGAGCGCTCTTCCATGGTGGTGGTGGTGCTGCTAGCAGACTTCGATATCAGCTGGAGAGTCAGCACAGTGACTGAGATCAAAACTGCATTTGCCTTGGAGCTGGAGCAAGGCCAGCTGGTGGTCCTCCACGTTCCTCAGGAGATGTACCCTCCTTATACAGGTATAGTACATGTGTGCTCATACCAGTGGACACATTCATTCATAATAATAATACACTTTATTTAGAAAGGCGCCTTTCAAGGCTCTCAAGGTTGCCGACAATGTACACAAAACACCAAACAAAACAAATTAGCACAAAAACAACACAATATAATCATAAAAACAGAGGACGAGTGATATGATCAGGGTGGATAAGCCAGTGTGAAGTGATGGGGGAAACAAATGCCAACAGGACACATGTGGGCAAAGAGTTTGTGTGGGACAATGTGGGACAAGTCACTGCGATGCTAAGAGGGGGTTTACATTTCAGTAATGTCCTTCTGACCCTAAAAAAATCCAAAATTCTATTGAAACTATTAGCTTAGAAATATAACGCTTTATATATTGATTTGGTTTCACAAACTATGCAATTAAAGGACCAGAGGTGGGAAGTAACTAAGTACATTTACTCAAGCACTGTACTTAAATACAATTTTGAGGTACTCGTACTATATTAAGTATTGCCATTTAATGCTACTTTATACTTCTATTCCACCACATTTAAAATGGAAATAATGTAATTTGGCTCCACTGCATTCATTTAACAGCTTTATCTTTTTATAACAAAATGCATCTCTTAAAATTAAACTAGTGGAGTTACAAGAGAATCAAATGATATACATATTTAACAAAAAGTCAACCAGAACTTTGTTTTTAGTCAAATTCTACGTGATGCAACAATATTATCTGGAAATGTCATGTATAAATATAATGATATACACACATAAAGGTCATTTATGTAACTCTGCACAACTATTCTTTTTACTTTTTATTATTTAAGTTCATTTTGCTGATAAAACCTTTGTGCTTTTACTTTACTTGTAATGAAATATTTTGACTAATGTATTGGTACTTTACTCAAGTAAAGCATACTGAATACTACCATCGCTCTAGTCTAGAGGACATTTATACTGTACATTTGGTTTGAAATGTTTTTTTTCCAACAAAACACAATATTTGTTTGCAATCTCTGACCCTGGAGCTGGAGAAAAAAACTCTGGCAAATCTGACAAAAACTCTCTGGGAATCGCCCCCTGCCCACTTAAAGTTGGGGTAGGTCATTTCAGAGAAACCAGCTCGAGTGCGCTAGAATTTGAAAATACTCAACCGGAAAACATCTGCCACTTCCTTACAGAGCCCCTCCTCCAACACACACGAACGCGCACATGACCAATGAGGGCACGAGATAAGTTTGTGCACAGATGGAAGGCTGACAGGCAGGTAGGCCATCCAGTTATTTTAGCCGGGCCAGCTCAGATGATTGGTCGTGCTTTTTACAGTACTACGGCTTCCACAGATTACATTTTTTTATGGATTTTTTTATCAAAGCACTTAAAATATTCATTGCTATCGGGATGTTAAGAGCATTCCATGGAATATAACTAAAAGTGTATCTCGAGCCAGTTTCTCAAACTTACCTACCCCACCTTTAACCTATAAGTAAATACATTTCCAGCCTTTGGATTGACTGAGTTCCAGGGCCCGGCCCTAGACTTTTGGGGGCCCTAAGCGAGCTTTGGCTTGGGGGCCCCCCTCACTCTAGCGCGTTCCCACTACACACAACACGGAACCAACTTTTGTCTTATGATGTTAGCATAAGCACACATATTGTATAAATAAGCATGTAAACACAGCGGACCTAACCTCTTCTAGGGGGGTCCGGGGGCATGCTCCCCCGGGAAGAATTGTTTTTAAATATTTAAGTTAAAAGCATCAATCTGGTGCACTTTGAGAGCAAAATTAAGAGATCTATGGATACATCTCTCAACACCCATATGAAACAGAACTGTAAACAGATTTTTCTTTATGGATATTTTGTAATCACTTAAACTCTAATCTTGTTTTGTCATATAGTATTTCATAACTGTTTTTCATTTATTCTCTCTGGCTGTCCATCTCATAATGTTCACATAGAAACTAGCTGTCAATATGAATATCATTCAGAAGAATTATAATTTCATGCAAAAATCTGTCACAAAAAGAGGTTGCACATTTAAATTCAGGTGTTGTTATGGCAACGTCAGTGGCCAAACAGCCACATTTACTGCTGCAAATACGTTCAAACATGCTGTCGACACGTAAAGCAGTGGCAACTATGCCACCATTTCAGCTGACTTTTTCTCAGAAATACTGTCACATAACATCCATATATTTCAGTGCTAGGTTGATGCTTAGCTAAGCTAACTATGAAACACTTTAACTGACAGGACTCAGGATCAACTGTGTACTGTGAGGTAGCTTCTAGCTTCATGTCGAACAGTAAGTCAACATTTCCCAGAGAGCTTTCTTTGAAATCACCAGGTAACGCTAAAACACATTACATTTAGATTGTATGACAAAGTGTTTATTTAATATATCTGGCTAGCTATAGCCAAGGGCGCCGGAAGCGGGGGGGCCATTGCCCCCCCCCACTTTTCAGCCCTGCCCCACATTTTCGCAGCAGCAGATGCCGCGGAAAACTGTACAAATCCCGTTTAAATAATTCCCCTCTACTGTAAAGTCGCATCTAAAACGCGATCTGATCTAGCTGTGTATATTTTGTTATTTTTGATTGTTATATTCAATCTCATTAGCTACAGGCATTTTTTAAGCTTGTAAAGGGAAGACCACAGCTCGCCTCTCACTGGCCACTCTGCTCTTCCACAGCGCCGCGCCCCCTCCCTCCCGCTGAAATTATGAATGTAAGGCATATAATCATAGCTAACACAGCAGGGTCCGTTACAGTTTGTTTTCATCTGATTTCAATTAAACAAAGTCTTGGCTTTCAGAATATTAAACTTGTTTCGGCAAATTCAGATGATAAATACAACTTTAAAGCTTGTAACGGCATAACGTAATAATAATTACAAGCGGAGAACAGAGTAACTTAACGTCACAACAGGCATAACAACAGCCGGTGTTTCCCGTGAGTGCAGTAATCCAAACAAAAATATTTCCCCTCCGTAGTATTTTGATAATTTGCTCCACTAATAATCAATCAGATCGATGGATTCCAGAGAAGAGAAAACTTTAAAGGCCTTTTTCTCAAAATGATGACTCTGTAACAGTCCTTATATAATGACATATTTTGCTTAATATTTGGAGTAGCCTACAAAAACAATGCTGATATCATTAGAAAGCTAGGAATCAAAATGTGTCTTCGGGTCAATGCGACTGATTTCGATGGAGCAGGTCACTTTGCATTAGGTAAAATAAAGCAGGCGGACATAACAGGAAGAATATGTAGGCCTACATTTTAACCCAATCAAATAGGACATTATCACACCATTCAAATGTATCCATGTACCCTAAATTACAACCAATAAAAAAGCTTAGATTTGTTTATTTGTTACGTTGTTTACTTTATTTGTTACGTTGTTCTGTGTGTGTCAGCCGTTAACCTAGAGATAGAAAGAATATATACACTTGCAAACATGTCAGAAGAACCAGCGCAGAAGAAAACTAAATACAGTCAATCTAAACTTAAATTTAACAACTGGAAGGTCACATTCCTGACATCCACATCTCCGGAGCCTGGACCTTCTTCAAACAGCGAAGCCAGATGAACCCAAAAGCAGCAGCTCTGCCACAGAGACTGTCAAAACCGCCGCCGCCGTTGTTGAACCGAAACAGACTGGTTCCGACTGCATGGAGGAAAAAAGGAGGCCGCTAGTAGATTATTTGAGCAAAGAGAAGGTACTTCAACGCAGAATGGTACACAAACAGAGAGTAGTTCATTCTTTGCAAAACCACTAAACGATAGTAATAAATTGCGATGTTAACAACCTCATGATAACCTCATATTTTTTTAACTTAGGATCATACCTGTGTTTAGTCTAGAAAAAGGTAATTGTGTGCATTTTATTATAAAGTTGTGTATATTTACAGACTGTTGCAAAAACTAAGAAGCTTATAAACATCAGGTTTAAAACTAAAAGAGCTTTACAAAAAAGTAACACAATTAAAGATGTTTGGAGTTTTATTTGAGTTATTCATTTACATTTTTGTCAAAGAGATGCTGATTTGAAACCGTTGTTAGGCCTAGATACAGTTACGGCATTTCCTGTTTCTGCCGGAGAGAGGGGAGTTTGTCCCAAAGCTTGCTGCTGTATTTACTCCCTCCATCTGACAGGAGGGAGCCTCATGTGTCACTCCACGGAGTTCACTCCGTCACGGAGGGGGAGTGTGTAGGGGTAGGGTGTAGGGCGTGGTTTGGGATTGGGCCATACACACGCACTTTTTTTGGCCCCCCCCCACTTCTAAAATGAATCCGGCGCGTCTGGCTATAGCTACTTGCTAACGGTTTAGCTTACCCCCGCGATTCAAAGTAACGTCAACGTAGCTGTAATTTATGCTTTGCTTACATGTTCGCATAACTTGGAAGTTTACTGACATTTACACACCTTGTTTACCTGTGGCTCTGGGGTTGTTTTGTGAGCTACCACTTGAGAATTGTCGTTTTTTTTAAGAAAAAATGTTCTTATGTCCATCTTCAGAAACTCTGAGTCCGACTGACAGTTTAAACATTGTCACAGCTCACAGGATAGGTACCTGTCAGCCAATAAGACAGATGTTTATTTCCATGCAACTCTGGTGATTGGTCTGGTGTCACTGAACACGGGAAATTACGGGAAATTACATTCCTGCCGTCCTCTCTAGTGTCATGATGAGGTTCAGGTAAAGCACGGTTAATGTATTATATTTTTGACTCAATCATATAATACATGACTTTGAGAGTAGACAATCTAGGCATATTAACAACATTAATTAAACATACTTATCACGGCGACGATGTCTACTGAGACTTTTTTTTAAATTCATTTTTTGCTAGGGGGCCCCTATTGGCTGCGGGGCCCTAAGAGGCCGCTTATGTCGCTTAATGGGTCGGGTCTTTTGTTTTCTGAACAGCCATTGGTTAAAAGCCAAGTTTCGACTGTTCGGGCAACTGTCAATCAAATGCAGGAAATTGTCTCAATTTCTAGAACAAATTATAAAAATGCTTTGCAGGCCCGCAAAGGTGGGAAACCTGGTCTCCCTCCTGTTTGATGCTGTGATTCTGATCCAAGTCTCTGTGTTTATCCTCCAGGTCTTAAGAGGAACTACAACGATCTTCCTGAAAGGGTATCGTTTCGCTCCAAGCAGAACCTGGATTACTCCTTCCTGATCCTTTACAGTGCTAGTCTGGGTCAATACTACCTCCAGATCGAAGACGACGTTTTCTCTGCCAAGAATTTCCTTTCCACCATCAAGAGGCGTGTGGCGGAGCAAGAGGCGAAGAAGACCACCTGGGCGATGCTGGAGTTCTCGGCCCTCGGTTATATCGGCAAGCTCTACAAATCAGCCCAGCTTCCTCTCCTGGCACGCTTTCTCTTCCTCTTCTACCAGGAAATGCCTTGCGACTGGTTAATGGGTCGCTTCCGAGATTTGATGACCCAGAAAGAGCCAATCCTTTTCAAACCCTCGCTGTTCCAACACATGGGAACCTTCTCCTCGTTCCAAGGCACATACAACAAGCTTAAGGACAAGGACTTTGAGGAGCAGTATACCAATCCTCTGGCTGAGGTTTATACTGATATGTCCTCCTACAAAAAACATTTTCCCAAACTGGCCTGGGACGCTGGGGAGGATTTCTTTTGGGGACGCTCCCCAGAAAAAGGTAATCACCTGACTGTGGTGTTCAGAGGCCCTACACTAGTGACAGGGATTATGGTAGAAACAGGGTCAGGGGGCAAAGACCTCCTAGAGTCAGCTCAGGTGGAGATAGGCCATGACGTGATCACCACAGAGAAAGACAGGAGTTGTAAAGAGTTCCAGACAGTTGGGACGTTCAAAAATGGGTTGTTTGAGATCCAAGAGATGGACAAAAAGTACACCTCTGCCTCTTCCTGTCTGAGGATACAGATCACAGCTGCGCAGAAGGATTGGCTGATCATTACCAAAATCAGGATCTCAACAAAGCTTCGTACATCCACAAACCAAGCCTAGGAGGGACACTTGCCTTCCTACCAGGGGAATAGTTTTGTATCTGCTGGATGCAGGCTAAACATGTGCCTTGTTGAACCGTTCCATTGACCAAACATCTATCCAGAAACAGTTTGAAGCTACTGTCAATATGATGTTTGATTAAGGCAAGATGTATAGACGATGTGTGCACATAAAACCATGCCTTTGCCTCTTCAAAAACATAAACTGGTATTTATAAAGGAAGAGTGCAGATTGTCTGTTAATTTAAGTTAGAGTAGAGAATAATGTGATTTGTATTTACTGGTTCAGCAGCTTTATTAAATCCATTATAAAGGAAGAGTGTTTAGTAAGAATGCGTTAACCTCCCACATAACATGCCACCAGGCATACAGTGATTGAGATATGAAGACGTGGAAATAAAAATAAGGTGAGACACAGGATGTTATATGTTCCAATACGTTTTTGTTATTTAAACTATTTTCTATTGAGACATTCTGTAAACTATTCAAATATTAGGGTTATTATCTGTTAACTAAATAATAGCTTTTGTATGACCTATAATGACAACTGAGACAAACTGCTGTTGATAGATTAAAGGAGATTAGTGACTGTTGGTGCCTTAAGAAGCTGCAGCCATGCGTAATGATCCTGGGTCAGGATTGCTGCTCAGTTGTTGGAGGACCTTGCCTATGTGTGTATAAAATGAAAACAATTAGAGATTGATTTGATTTTCTCAGTTCACACCTTAGGCTTCCAGGTCCAGCTTTAGAGGAGCAGACGCATATAAATCATGCAATTCCTGTCAAAATTCAAGTTAGACAACTCTTGGGTTCGTTGCAACATTTAGGACATTTTTGAGGGAGCTGGTTGGCAGGTCTGGAATATCTCCTGGAGTGTGCCTGCCTGTATTAGTCTGTTTCCAGACCAGCTTCAATCGAGTCTGGACTTTCTCTCCCCGCTCTGAAAACGCCAGAACGTTGTGGCTCACCACAGAGATTTTAAAAGTCCTGGACTCACACCAGGGTAGCTGTGGTTTTTATTGAACACTTTTACACAGTTCTAGAGATAATGTTACTGGGATGCTGTGTACCTTTTGTTCTGAGGCTCTTAACTAAATGTCCGACTCCTTACACACCAAACTGACACCAAGGAACACCAAAGAACACGTCCCGACAGAACGTCGCCTCACGTCTCCTGCGTCTTGGCCATGTGTCGCACTGGAACACACCGCAAAGACTTCAGCCGACGGCCAAGAAGCACGTACGAACTGCACATGCGTGAGTGGCAATAACTCTCCTTACCAGCAGGCGGCGGTAGTGGGTATTCGTCATTCAAAAGAGGCAACAACCGGAAGACAGACTGCGTGATAACCGAGAGAAGAAGAACATACTGCGTGATATAAACAAACAACAAATAGCGTGTGCGTTCCATTTTCACTCTACAACGAGAAGCTCATGGGGCTTTCCCGAACCTGAGTCGAGAGCTGGAGTTAAATGAAATCTCAGATTTGCCTTCTTAATAGTTTGTTTGGGTCCCTCACTTCCGTTTCGCTTCTCATGCACTGATTCGCTAGCTGAACAGCCAATCAGAGTGATTTATTTTGCCGACTGCCTTTGGCCGACAGCCTATCGACTGTGTCGAATCGGTGGCGGAAGGTGTCGGCACGGCCGTAAAGACACGACGGTGCAGTACACACCAATCTGAGTAGGGCGACACGACGCTCATCGTCTTTTCAGCCGTGCCGACACCTTTTCGGCCAAAGGCAGTCGACAAAAAGAAATCACTCTGATTGGCTGTTCAGCTTAGCGAATCAGTGCATGAGAAGCGAAGCGGAAGTGAGGGACCCCAACAAACTATTAAGAAGGCAAATCTGAGATTTCATTTAACTCCAGCTCTCGACACAGGTTCGGGAAAGCCCCATGAGCTTCTCGCTGTAGAGTGAAAATGGAACGCACACGCTATTTGTTGTTTGTTTATATCACGCAGTCTGTTCTTCTTCCCTCGGTTATCACGCTGTCTGTCTTCCGGTTGTTGCCTCTTTTGAATGACGAATACACACTACCGCCAGTGGCGGTTCTACAGGGTGGCACGGGGTGGCAGCTGCCACCTCAGAAAAATGCCTTGCCACCCCAGTTGGCATCTTTGTTTTGAAAAAAAAGTTGTGGCTCATCGGACATTTATGAGAGAAAATATCTAATGTCCGAGTGCAAGTGAATGCAGCACAAGACGCGAGCCTTGTAACCCTTCCCCTGGCCCTGGAACGAGCGTGGAAATATGATTGGAGGCGATTTCCTTTGAACGGGGGACAGCGCAAAACGAGAAGCATTTTGGATCCAAGTAGACGGAAGGAATGAGGTATTTGCGGTCAGTGGCGGCGCCAGGGTATGGCTGGGGTAGGCTACAGCCATACCACGAAATGGCTTAGCCCCACCTTAGCCCCACCATAAAAAATGATGTTAAGGTAAGCTAAATAAAGTCTGCCAACTCGCGCGGAATAAATTGCACAGACAGCAGTTAGTAAGATTGATTTCAGTAGCCACTTGTCTGGAAATACCGAAGACTAGAAACGGTTTTGAAAACTTTTGTCACGTAGTGATCGTCTTCTCAATAGAACATCTTTGATAATGTCTTCTGGCCATTCAGAATCAAGATAACAGCGTGGTGTTGTTGCAGGAAGTCCTGATACATCGATACAACATTACGTGTTGATAGAAATCAACACGTAATGAAATAAGACCCCACGGTTTGATGATTGATAGGTGTGTGGGCTGTCTTTAATTTTGACACACAGAACAATGGGGGCTATCCACCCTTATCCACAATGTAAAGTCATTCACAGCCTCTTCCCTCTTCTCTCTGTGAGGGTTAGGGTTAGTAATATATTTATTTATTTTTCTTCTCAAGAGAGTACCAGAATGTGTATTTTATGTTAGTATTTCAAAAAATCTCCTGGGGGAGAATCCCCCCAGACCCCCCTGCAGGGGTTGGGTTTTCAGCATGTCAACTCTTTCACTTGTGGAAAAATTGCAGGATTGGCTCCAGGTCGCCCTTTTTATTTACTACAAGACAAATGTGCCTTTTTATTTCATACAGTTCAATTTGGATTGAGACGGGGAAATAATCTAAACCTCACGTGTGGCGTTTCACTGTCAAGGGGAGCGTGTATGTAATTACATTGCAAATACTGACTTGAGCCCCACCACTGTATGGGTTAGCCCTACCATAGGTTACCCAACACAAATACTCTGGCGCCGCCACTGTTTGCGGTCTACAATGACAGAGAAGAGACTGTCAAGTTTGGCTGTACTCAGCATTGAATCAAAACGCACCATAGCTTTAAATCTTAATAAGTCTGTGAGGCGTTTTGCTGAACAAGATGGTAATCACCACATTCAGCTGTTATAGCTGTTGGATGATCCTGCGCTCCTCTGTCCTGGATCGCGAGCCCTGGATCTTGAGTCGTGGCTGTGGTCCTGGATCATAGGTCCTGGATGGATATCCTCGTGGATTCATCTTCCTATTATACACACATGCATTTCCAAACATTTGGACTACCTATGTTGCAAATGTATTATCTTTCCAATTTACACACGGCATCTATTGCACGTCTGTCCGTCCTGGGAGAGGGATCCCTCCTCTGTTGCTCTCCCTGAAGTTTCTCCCATGTTCCCTTTAAACTGTGGGTTTTCTTCGGAAGTTTTTCCTTATACGATGTGAGGGTCTAAGGATAGAGGGTGTCGTATTGTCATACTGATATTTTGTACAAACTAAAGTCCACTGAGACAAATGTAACATTTGTGATATTGGGCTATATAAATAAACATTGATTGATTGATTGATATAGGCATGCCAACTTGATGCTCTGCTCACGGATGAGTCGATGAGAATAATAAACTGTTAAGATGATGACCTTACGTGTGTATAATATTTTTCTTCTTTGTGGGGTTCTGCCCCCAAAAAACTGTTTTAAGTCCTGAGAAAGTCAAATCAGACGGTGTGTAAAACTTCACGGCCCAGCCAAAAGAAAGAAACACTTTGATTTAACTAGGCCACTAGGTAAGGACTTTCCACTGGATAATAGCTGCAGCGATGTATATGTTTTAGCTGAATACACGTTTTTTAACCCTAACTGATGCAGTTAGTCACTTCTTTAATGTTTGTTCTTTCTGATGTAAAGTCAAGGTTGTAACTGTTTGCAATGAAGTCGTGGGGCGCTGAACTGTTCTTTTGATTCTTTTGATATATGATAGTAATTACTTGTCTTTCCAATTTGAAGGAGGGTGAGCAAGCATCTTGAGGAACATTCATCATTAACTCCTCCAAAAATATAGTTTATTTAATAATAATACTGAATATGTGAATCATAACAGTGATTGACAGCTGATAGGAATAATATGATTGTTAATATTATCATTTTCATACAGACAAACATCGATGAGACAGTTAATTAATGTACTTATTGCAGCAGTCTGCATTGATTTGGTACCCCTGCTGGTCTAAGAGTGAGACAAACTCATTCAGTTATTGTTCAGTTAAAATTCATTAAATGATGTCTGCCACCTTATATATGTATATGTAAGGCTTTACTGATGTGCCACAATAATGTCACCAAATATTATTGAGTTAAAATATCAATATTGTGGTTTTACAAGTTAACATTGATTGATATGACTGCGATTAAATCAGCATATACTTCTGCCAGGGGATGCCACCCCTGAAATGTTCCTGCCACCCTCTTGCCACCCCATGAATATTTTTCTAGATCCGCCCCTGACTACCGCCGCCTGCTGGTAAGGAGAGTTATTGCCACTCACGCATGCGCAGTTCGTACGTGCTTCTTGGCCGTCGGCTGAAGTCTTTGCGGTGTGTTCCAGTGCGACACATGGCCAAGACGCAGGAGACGCAACTGTCGGGGTCCGTCTGTTTGTTAATTTAAATTAGTAGAGTAGAGAATAGTGTGTTTGTTTACTGGTTCAGCACCTTTCACCAATGTGCCAGTCTATCTGCAATTGTCTCAATTGTAATCTGAGCAATTGACTGCTCACATGTTGCAATAAGGGTAAACTGAAAGGATCTTTAGGAGTTGTTTTTGTAATGCTCGTGATTCCAGAACACCAAGTAAATCGCTTTCTCTTTCCTTCTCTGATCTGATGACTGTCTGAATTTCACATTAGGCGTATATTTTCATGCATAACATTTATCTCGGACACACATAACTCCCTGAAAAGCTTGTGGTTTCTTCTCATGAGTCACGACGAGACAGTGTGAAGTCAGAGATGTATGCTGTGACTTGTTTCTCAAAATGGAAACCATGTGCCAATGTATGACTCAATGTTTCCTGGCAGCGATTAGGAAGTTGTTCATGTTTAATTGTAAACTACATTTAACAACACACATTAAAGAGGGACATATATCTGCTCTTTAAAAGTCAAGTAAATAATGGTCAACTACACATTTACGGAATTCCTGTTATTTTGTCTGTTTGTACTGTAAGCACAGCATTTTATTTGACCCTTTTTATCAATGTGTTCTCGTTTTTCCCACCAGACAGTATAATGATTTAGATTGTCTTATTACTATACCATCATGCTACACAATCAGAAATGTAGAGGCTACCAAATGAAACCACTGACTTTGATGGCGCTCAAAGATGTATGGTTACTCTGTTCAGCTCACAGAACATTAAGATAAAAAACAAAGAGAAAGAACTTCAGTCAGTAATCATATTAAGCAAAACCTGTAACAAAAAAATGAAATTTTGTATTTTATTTCCCTGATAACAATATGCTGACCTTTCAACCTGTGTGAGAAGAATTCAGCCATGCTCAAATAACTAGGTGAGTTTATTTTTGTATGTATTTTTTCCATCCACTTGGAAGAAGGTTACTGTTCTTGCTGTTTATCTTTGTGTGTCTGCTTAGAGGATGATGGTGCTTCAGGTCTGGCTACTCCGATGACAGGGCCCCATCGTCCTGCCGGACTTCCTCATTGCCCTGAAAGGAAGGATAAGATAAGATAAGCAAGCCTTCGTTGATGCCCAGAGAGAAATCCAGGAGTAGCAGGAAATAATATACTCTATAAAGAGAGGTTAAAATAAAAACTATACGAGAGCAATTTATAAGACAATGAAAATAGTTTGAAAATAAATGTTTTCTTAATATATCTTATGTGGTTGTATCACCTGCTTGACAACATCCAGCTCTCCAGCATCCTCCAGCCTGTCCGTGTTTCTGCTGCCTCTGTGTGGCTGAGATGGGCCTGTGTCCTCTGGGTCTAAGCCCCAGGACTTCAGCCGGCTCAGACCCTCCACAGAGCGGCCGGTGGGGTTGATCCGCTGAGCCGGGATACGGACCGGTAGATCCCAGGTCCCCTTAAAGTCTGGCCATGCACTGCCACGCTATATCAACACACACACACACACACACACACACACACACACACACACACACACACACACACACACACACACACACACACACACACACACACACACACACACACACACACACACACACACCACACCTATGGAGTGAATTCAAAGGCTACATGTGTTCACAATATCAATAGCATGTTTTAAGTAAGAGACACAAAACGTTTGATATGATCTCACCTTTACCACTCCTGGGAGTAGATGTCCTCTATTATTAGCAATGAAGGTGGTGTGACCCTCCTGTGCAGAGGGTCTCTACAAACACACACACACACACACACACCACACACACACACACACACACACACACACACACACACACACACACACACACACACACACACACACACACACACACACACAGAGTTGAAGTCATTCATCAACTTTTCAGGCAATTATACTCTTAAAATTGCCAGAAAAAAAGAAGAATAGCCTACTGCTGACATGACATTTACCTTTTTGAAGTCTTTAGTTGTCTCCCCCCAGTTCTGCAGCCTCTGCGGCTTGTAGGCACTGTCATACTGAGGAGGGAAAGTGTCACAATGTATCAGTAAAACATTACAGCAGAATATGTAATTTTTCCAACTACCATCACCCAGAATGCAAATATTTAGGTTACCTGGTTAGCTGAGTAACTGAACATGTCTGGATCTGTAAGAGCCTCCGCATTTGTTTTGTTGACTCGTTGCATAGCAACGCAATCGAACTGACCTTTGCTTTCCAGACTTGCAGGAAATCCGAAGTAGGCCTAATGGGAAAATAGAAACATATCTACTCAGGGAACACATCATGTATACGCACGGAAAAACAGTTTACATATGACCTCTTAGGGAAATAGTAAGTGAATCAATGTGTGTAGGCCTAATGTCAAATATGTCAATTTGAGTCGTTTTTTATTTGCATTATTGTTACGTGTCCTATTGTGATAAATGTACATTGAAATATGTAGCGCCTTAATTTCCTATGTTTTTGCTTTAAAACATTTTTACAGGCAAATATAATAACTGATTTTAGAAACTACTTTTATTTTGGAACGTCGACCGGACGTCCAGCTGTTTATCTTCCGGTGGCGTACTTGTTGGATGTAGCCTAGCTAGCCAAACATTAGCCAGCAGCTAGATAAAACGTCCTGAATTTTTATTTTTTTTAAATAAGGAACACATACCACCCCCTGTTACATCCAGCCAGCGAGTGAGCTTTCCTTCAGCTTAATTCAGACGGTTTTGTCGCAAAATAACTAGCTTCCGTCTTGTCCAACGTAGACAGTCTTGGTGGTGGTAGGTCACATGAGCCTGGAGGGACCGGTCCTCCTAGTTTAGCTGTCCTGAGAGACAGGCCGGTGTGGGCCGGCTGCGGGCCGGAGACAGTCCGGCGGGGAGGCAGAGACCGACAGGGACATGAAGAAACACTTTCGCGTCTGTCGCTTCATTATGGAGACAGGTAAGCCAGTGTGTGTGTGTTGTGTGTGTGTGTGTGTGTGTGTGTGTGTGTGTGTGGTGTGTGTGTGTGTGTTGTGTGTGTGTGTGTGTGTGTGATGTGTGTGTGTGTGGTGTGTGTGTGTGTGTGGTGTGTGTGTGTGTGTGTGTTGTGTGTGTGTGTGGTGTGTGTGTGTGTGTAGTGTGTGTGTGTGTGTGTGTGTGTGTGTGTGTGTGTGTGTGGTGTGTGTGTGTGTGTGTGTGTGTGTGTGTGTGTGTGTGTGTGTGTGTGTGTGTGTGTGTGTGTGTGGTGTGTGTGTGTGTGTGTGTTGTGTGTGTGTGTGTGTGTGTGTGTTTGTGTGTGTGTGTGTGTGGCATTACTATACTTGTGGGGACCTAAATCTGTTTACACAGTCACGTGTGGGGACTCGCCTCCCTTATGGGGACAAATTGGATTAAATTAAATCATTAATTTTAGGGTGAAGACTTGGTTAGGTTTAGGGTAAGGTTAAGGGTTAGGCATGTGTTGGTCTCCAGGAAATGCATGTAAGTCAATGTAATGTCCCCTGAAGTGATGTATACATACGTGTGTGTCTTAATAATGTATGGTCATTCATAAATAGAGTAGCCTATAATGTAAGTACATTTCTGTTCGGAGAAAATATGCACGATAAAAAATAAAAGTACCTAATTACTAAACCCAAATTATTAAATATTTATTGAATTTTTTGTACATTTGACTTATGTCGAAATCTGACTTATATAACCTGCATTAATTAGGTAACACATATATCATGAATTATGTTAATGTGTATCTTGTTCAGGTGTCTGTAAGCCTCTCTCATGGATACATGGTTTGAGAATAGAAATGTACTAATCAGCCATTGTCCTGGAGAGAACACAGAATTCATACAGGGCTGCCAACCTTTGAGTTCAGCTTGGAGTGAGACTTTTTTTTTGGGGGTGGGGGTGAACAAAAAAAAGAAATGTTCATGTGTCCAGTGTTACAAATGTATTGAACATGAACAAACTATTTACATACAAAATTGACAAACATAATTTTACAGGGATTAACTCCATAAACCAGTGGTGGCGCCAGATATTTTAGTTTTTGGGATGCTGTGGGGTAGCTTGACGTTTCATAGAGGGTGCTCAAACATTTAGAGTCTTAATGTACCGGTCGCTACAGTGGAATACGCACATACACAGTGTACCCGCGACTCTTACAATGAAGGCTCGATAATCAGCTCACATATAGGTGTAAGCGGGGGTAAAGTGCTATTTTTTTCTAAGTGGGGGGTGGACCTACAGTAGCATCCGGGGGCATGCTCCCCTGGAAGATTTTTTTTTAAATATTGAAGTTGAAAGCATCAATCTGGTGCACTTTGAGAGCAACATGAAGAGATCTATGGATACATCTCTCAACACCCATTTGAAACAGAACTGTACACAGATTTACTTTTTCTTTATGGATATTTTACAAATCACTCCCCTTTTAAACTGTATTCTTGTTTTACTGTCATATAGTATTTCATAACTGTTTTTCATGTATTCTCTTGTTTTTTCTATAACTATAATGATCATATTATTGTTTACATAAATGGTGACCAAACCGTTTGAGACCCACTGAGATAACAACAACAATGCCAGGTACCGTGCTCTCTCTCTCGCTCGGAGCGGCGTTCCGGTGCTCTCCGGCGGCAGCACTACATCCCTGAGTGCAGGCATATTGTTATTCAAGAGAGAATACGATGCGTATTTCTATTGGAAAACATGTTTTCCGATTTACCTCGTTAACGTAAATAACTTTCATGGTAGCTCAGCTCCCATTGGCTCCCTAACCCTGGTGGAGAGTCTATCAAACCGGCCCACACCTGTCACCTGTAAAACATGAACAACAGGGTGTCGCTGTCCAGGTTGTTAGGCGACAGTGCTACGGACCACGGGTGTCAGGTGACGCAAACAGGAAGTCCTCCATAAACCGGACCGTTTCATTTCGTAGGCCGCTCGGTTTGCTGTTCCTTCACTTTATTTTTATATACATTTATTTTGGACGAAAACTTAGCGTGAGGAAAGGCATCTGTGGCGTGAGTGCGTGACATATGGCTTGATTGCGTGACTCTCACGCTCAATGCGTGAGGGTTGGCAGCCCTGGTTCATATCGAATGTATCCTTGATTTTTGTTAATCATAATATGAAGCAAGCTAGAAATGAACTTTTAAGCCATACTGATAATATCGTGCTGCCCATTGTTTCCACAAGTAAATGGTGATTCCAATATGTAATGTTGAGTAAAGGTAAGTGGCAATCAAACTGACGAAGTAGATGTAAAGGCTGTCAGTAGATGGGAAACAGGAACCTGTAATATATCAAAGATGATAAAACATCACATGGTTTTGGAATGATTGAACCCCTAACAGTTTGCTGGTTCCCTGCTCAGGAGTGAAGCTGGGGATGCGCTCGGTGCCCGTGGCCACAGCCTGCGTGTTGTACCACCGGTTCTTTCAACGTGCCAGACTACAGGTGTATGAGCCCTACCTGGTGGCCATGAGCTGTGTGTACCTGGCTGGCAAAGTGGAGGAGCAACACACCAGGACCCGTGACATCATCAACGTCAGCCATAGGTAATATGCTTTGTCAGGAGTTGATACTACTTGTAGTGAACTCTGCTCTGTCGCCCCACATAACCCTCAAATGAGCATTTCATATTTTGGGAAATAATCGATTGGTATTTTCTACATTACATCCATATTACACTTCTATTCCACCCATAATACACATAAATACATGCACCTATTACACAATTCTTACACCCGTATTACACCCACATTACTCCGTTATGATTACACCCATATTACACCCGTATTATAAAAATGTTACACTGTTTTTTGACCCATATTACACCCTTAGTACACCGTAATTAGACTGTTATTACACCCATTTTACACATGGACACAGCCTGTCAAATAAATGTATACCCCAGGATACAGAAGCCATTTAAGGGTTAAATTGTACTGCTGAGTGCTTAATTCTTGATATTATCAAATGAATTGCTATTATAAAGTAAACAACTTTATTTAAGTTTCACATGGAAACACAGTTAGTAAGCTTTAGGATATGGATTGTTACCTGAAAATTAAAGGTTTTTGTCTTAAATCTATCTTTTATTTTCAAAACTGATCAGTTTGCAGAATAATTTTTTTATTGTAGTAATGGTTTGGACTGTAGAATCTCAGAAAGGGTGGAAGTCAAGTATATGGCTGGCTCTAACATGGTCGATGTGCTCCGTTGATATGTTCATGGTGTCAGTAATGTGAATTTGCATGGTTAAGATACAACGGTAGATCAGAGGACCAGGAGTATTATTTCTTTCAGCAAATGTACACTGTGTTGATCACCGTTCTATTCTTTAAGAAATGTTCCGTCTGTGTCAGCTTTTAACTGCTTCTGGAGCTCGCTCTTCATCAGCAGGTTTCTTTGGGTGTTACCGTCCCCCCACTTATTTGTAGCCCCCTCTTTTTTTAAGCATGATTTGATTTTAATAGTCTAATAAATATAAAATCATTGCCAGAGTAATGGCAATTTTAACTGTTCCAATGCTCTATATCCTTTGCCATTACTTCACAGGAGGGTTTAGAGCAGGGGTATTCAACTAAAATTCAACGAGGTCCAGTTAGAGAAAATGTCCCCATGCAAAGGTCCGGAGCTTCAAAATGTCTAACTTGCTTTATGAATTAGTGTGATATATATTGAAGTAGCTGTAGCTTTATCAACGTCTGCATGTAATCAACAACTGACTGCCAAATAAAGAAAGTACAATTCATAAACAACAATATTTATTGTCAATTAACATTAAACTAGATATACAGTAAAATACTGAGGATATGTGTAATGTTCCTCTCGGGCTGCATTTACAAATATAATAGAGAAAATAAATAAAATAGCTTTTGAAAAAGTGCTTAATTTTAGATAAATAAAATAAAGTGTAGCAGCAGCTTGAGTTTCCCTTTTTCTTTGTTAACCGTTTCACATCATGACTTAACAGTTTCAGACGATTATAGAACAATATCAGTCTTTACATATCATAACAATTGAACAGTTTTAAAGTTTCTCTTTCTCTCCCTCTTATATTGCAGTCCCTCACTCACTTTTTTTTAATTCAGTGCGAGGATTGAGCTGGAGCTTGTCCTGCCAGGAGTTTGAATCCGGGCTGAAATGGTGTCAGGGCCATTCTCATACACACATGCAGGTGCTCATTGGTTAGCCTCGGTTAGCTCATTAGTTAGCCTCGGTTAGCCTGCTCTGGAACGATATTTAGTTTTAATTTTGATCCTGGTGGACTGATCATATTGGGCTCTGAGACTGCTTATTTTTTGTGACCTCAGTTCTGACTTGAGAGGGAATGTTTGGTCAACCACTTTGTGTTTTGTCTCATAGTGGCGTTTTGGCACTTTTAATGAGCGCCACGGTCTCTGAACAAATGAGACACACTGGTTCTGTGCTCCCTGTGGGCAGGATGAACATGAACGAGTCCACTCAGGGTTAAAAGCTCTGTTCTCACTGTCCACGTTCCTCTTCTTGGAGAGCGCCATGTGTAATTATGTGTCTCTCCCTGTCTGCCGCTAACACGCCTGTTCACTCTCCTCTCCGCTTCTCTCCCTGTATCGCTAATTATTCTCTCCACTCACTTTCCTCTCCGCTTCTCTCTGCCGCGCTCTCGTCTCTTCTTCTGTGTTTCTCTCCCTGTATCGCTCACTTGTCTCTTTCGCCCCCTGTTGGCAGCGGTTAAAATAGAATCGCCCCGTCAAAATTGAAATCCCCTATTAATGTATTGATTATAGGTCCGGGTCCGTATAGGTCGGCGTCCGGATCCGGACCGCGGTCTGCCTGTTACTGAACTATGGTTTAGAGCAGTGCTTCTCAAACTGTTTTCAGTAGTGTACCCCCTTTGAAACATTTTCTCAGCCAAGCACCCACTGACCAACCCCGAACCTTTTTGATAGAAAAAGCCTATATAAATCATTACAATATAGTGATGTTCCATTAGTGTGTGATTTATTAACTCCTTCATGCATGAATTACAACAAACTAAGGATATTTTCATCTGTATGCATGAGAAAACAATTTAAAACAGATTTTTAAGTAATATATGTTTAACAAACCAATGAACAAAATGATATATTATGCAAAAACTATAAAATACAATACACAAATATTATAATAAAATCCGCTGTGGTGCCTGATGTGCAACTATACCATCCGAAACCCCATGCATATACAAGAAAACAGCATTCAATTAGCGGTCTCTAATGTAGTGACCACAATGCATGAAAGGGTTAAAAAAAAAAAAACGTTGTCACTGAAAAAATTTGCAATTATAAATAAACTATGTAATGACACTATTTAGGAGTAACAGGTCCTCAGCGATCGTGTACGGCTTTTGGCTTTAGCGATGGGCAGTGACACCGCATACGATGCCTCCAGTGCTTTGGCTGATGTTGCGAGGACCTGTACTCAGCAAGTTTTCTCTTGAAAAACTCCGGTGGCTGACCAACATCACACAGGTGTTTGGTGTTGAGATGTCTCTGGAGGTGCGCTGGTTTCATCGAGCTGTTGGCTGGTTTTTCCCCACAGAAAAAACACAATGCCTGGGGCGGGTTGCCGTTTATTGACATGAATCCCATCAAAGCATACGCCTCCTGATATTGACGGCATTTTGTTGGCTCAATTTTGGCTTTCTTTTTTTTAAATCTCACGTACCCCCTGCAGTACCCCAACGTACCCCTAGGGGTCCGCGTACCCCCATTTGAGAATCACTGGTTTAGAGTGATCCAGACGCAGACACAAACGGATCTTTTGCTGCAGTTTAGAATGATGTTTATTTTGCTTTACATACCAAGGTTTAATTATACTGTGTCAAAGGGTTGTGGTATGAGCATCTGCCGGGCTGGTGGAATCGGTATGCTCTACCTCCTGTGTCCTCATCCTTTCCTGTCACCTGTGACCCCTTTTATACACCTGGTGCAGCTAAACCCCGCCACCAAGTGTTCAAAATAGTATTGCACTATAAATATAAATAAAGTAAACTGAGACACCAACAACACCCATAAAATGGCTCCTACAGCCAGTGTTATCAGTTGCAAGTGTGTATTAGTTGTAATAATGACGAAAACATAATACATTTTGCAGTAATTATAATAAAAACGTTGCTCAAGTATTATTCCTTATATTGATTGGATGATTCATGTGATATGATTCTTCAATAATTGCCAAAAGAACCAATAATGAAAACAAATCAAATTGTAGCCCAACTACACCTCTTAGTAACACCAGACCAATTTTGCATACAGGCTATTTCATGCCTCACACAGGACAAGTAACTTAGCAGATGTGTCACTGTTGGATGTCGTCCTCTTGAATGCTCCCCCCTCCCTGTCTTCCTCCCCAGGTATTTCAACAGTGGCAGTGTTACTCTAGAATGTGACAAGGAGTTCTGGGATTTGAGGGACAGCGTGGTGCAGTGCGAGCTGCTCATACTCCGACAGCTCAACTTCCACGTCTCCTTTGAACACCCTCACAAGGTAGGGGATGAGTGTGTTAGTGCACATGCCTGATTCCTGTTTTCAGTGTGGACCCTTGCTGTTGCAGCCTGATGTTGTCATAGTGTTTCAATTGTGTTTGTGATCAGAGGTGGGAAAAGTACTCAGTCCTGCATTTAAAATGTTCCTCAAGTAAAAGTGTAAAAGTATAAAAGTATTATCATCAAAATATATAGTCGTTGTGCAGATTGGTCCATTTCAGAATAATATATATGATATGTTTTATAATGATTGATCAAAGTGTTCTCAAAGCTGGTAAAGGTGCAGCTAGTTTGAATGACTTTGTATACTGCAGGGTAGCTGGTGGATTTACTCCAGGTGGAACTAAAGTCTGATTTAACACTTGATTATATTTCACATCATTCATCCAGATCTGTGAAGTAACTAAAGGGATTAAATACATGTAGTGGAGGAAAAGTACACCATTTACCTCTGAATTGTAGTGGGATAGAAGTACAAATGTGTACTTGAGTAAATCTACTTAGTAACTTTACACCACTGTTTGTGAGTGCAGTGTGATCTGGGCTGAATAAGTGAATTCAAATGTGTGTTGCTCATGCTGTATTACTTGCCTTTGCTGATGTAAATCTTTAAGCTTTTCTCATTTCTGTATTTTATTTCTTGACCTTGCTTTAGTGGTACAGCAAGTTTAAGTCAGGTATAAAGTTTTTAGTGCAGAGGAGTCCATTTAAGTATACCTGATTGGCTGATCACCCTTGCACACATTATTTATGTGTTGCCTAAACTAAAGCACTGTGTTGCCGCTGTATATTTTCTCTGCAGTATTTGCTCCACTACCTGATGTCTGTGAAGTCGCTGGTGAACCGCCACGCGTGGTCTCGAACCCCCGTTGCCGAGACTTCCTGGGCATTGCTGAGAGACTGTTACCATGGAGCCATGTGCATCCGCCACACACCACAACACATTGCCATAGCAACGTTGCACCTGGCTCTGGACAGCTACGGAGTGGAGCTGCCGGTCGGGGAGAGAGAGTGGTGGCAGGTGGGTGTTTATGAAAAGTGCTGATAATTGCACACTGAACAGAGAGAAGTGATACAAAATGAAAAATGTCACACATTATCTCCTTGTATAACGCTGAAGAGCATGGAAACAACACATGAACTGTAAACAACAAAAGCTGTTGTCATGTTTAGCAAAGTTAACGTTAGTTAAGCAGAAACAGTAGGCTAGCTAACAGTGGCAACAGTGTGTGTCACAAGTTAAAGCGTCAGTTGGAGAGTAAAGGCCCTCTGATGCAGTGGTGGAAATAAATTCACATTCTTTACTTGAGTTAAAGTACTAAAACCACACTGTAGGAATACTCAAATTCAAATGAAACTACTCCATTGAGAATTAAGTAAAATATTCTATGTACAAATAGGAAAATGTACTTAAAGTATTGGGAGTAAAAGTACTCTTTATAATGTACTGTAATGTAGAATGGTTTAATTTATACAAAATAATCATATTTTAAAAGTTTTTCCTAGTTACTGTTATCTGTCAAAATCAGAATGTAACTAGTAATTAAAACAAAATGTGCTTCCAAAATGTAGAAGTATAAAGTAATATAAAATAAAAACACTCTGGTAAGGTATAAGTACCTCGAATGTTTACTTAACTACAGTACTTGATTAAATGTATTTAGTGCCAGCGGGGGGGCAACTCCACTGCAGTGATCTCTTGATGCAGCTTAATGCAACGTGTTGTAGCTAACAATGTGTGTTGGTGTCTTGCACTATGCTTCATAAAATAGACGTGTTACCGAACAAATGATGAGGAAGGAAGAGTTCAGGGATCTGTTTATTCCCAATAGCTTGGTGTAGAGACACGTTGTAAACCCAGGAATGAGTCAGCATTTTAGCACTTCCAGGCTGCCTCCATCTGGTCCAGTCAATGCTTTTTATGAGTTTTTGGTGAGATGCCTGAAATATGGTCTATACAAGCTGAAGAGATTTACTCTAGGACATAAATATGTCAGTTTATACCCCCCTGGTGAACCTCTCAAGCGTTTACATGTTTTAAGAACAGCGGTTGCTGACAAGAAGCTAAAAGAGAATAAAATATAATGACAATCAGCGTTATCACACCAAACATTAGCCATCTTTAGCTTAGCACTTTTGACCTGAAGTCATGCGACTGTGATGCAGTTCCTGTATAGTCTAACATTGGCTTTTTATTTATTTTGATTGTATAAACTCTTCACAATTATAAAAGTGGAATTTATACTGTATATGTGGATCTTAAGTATCTTATTTTCTTCCATAGTCCAATATTCAATGGAAAATTCCCATTGCATTTTGTTGAGGGAGCCATTGAGATTTCAACTTCCGCTGAACTATCGAATAAAGGCAAAAAAGTCCCCCAAAATTATCTCAAAAGATTAAGACACAACCTTTAAAGGGGACCTATCATGCAAAATGCACTTTTTGATGTCTTTTATACATAAATATGTGTCACCGGTGTGTCAGGGAGTTCACGCAGCGTCTTTTCCTCTGTACTAAAATCTCTAAAAACGGGGCTACAACGGAGCTGATCCAGATTTGCGTCCGATATGACGTAATATCTGAGGCCCCGGCCACACAAGGACGAAAACGGCTAAACGCATAGGATTAATGCAAACGCAATCGCAAAAAAGTTTTCGTCCACACGCAATATTCACCGGATAGTGTCTGTCCACACGAGACGGCTCCGTTTAGCTCCAACCGCTGGAGAAGCTGCAGTACATATGCAGGAGCCTGTACGTGGCGCTGTAACTTCCTCCACAAAAGCAGCGAAGAAGCATGGTTGTCATGGTTGCCTTTCTGTTTATTCTCCGCGGTGGGGGCCGAGGGAACCGGGCAGAGTTTTTCGCCAGTCAACGTGTATTAAAGTTTAAATCTTCCGACAAAATTATAAAAGTGCCGGTCAAAGGTCTTCTTTGTTATTTATTGAGCTTTAAAACAAATGAATAACGACTCTATATAATATAATAATAAAATACACGGAGCCTCTCTTTTTCCTCCCTCTCTTCGGACAGCGTCAGTGTCTGTTTCATGCAGCAGCTGATCCAGTAATGAGTGACCCGGCCGACAGTAAAAATAAACATATTTATAACTAGTTTAGGTAGTTTGAGAGGTGTCTCCGTCCTGTCAGATTAGACTTCACTCGCGTTTATGTCCATATCGAGAGAAAGATAAATAATCTGAATTCAGTGTGCAGTTTACTTTGACGCGGGGGTGAGCAGCAGAGGTGGGGAGAGGCGGGGCTATTGCCTCATCATTATCAGAAAATGATCGTATAGGGCGTACACACGGAGCCGTTGGACCCCCCAGAGCGTTGCGTATGCCGTTCTATCCACCTTGGGACCCGTTATCGTTTCCGCAGTCGTTTAGTGCCGTATTCGGTCGTCCTCGTGTGGCCGAACGGTCTATATGACACTAAACAGTAACGCAAACGACCGTTTTCGTCCTCGTGTGGCCGGGGCCTGAACTGTAGGCTGGCTTAACACCCACGGGCCTATCAGAAACGTTACTATCAGAAACAATACCCGACTGTTTTGGATGTAATATGGTCGGTGTTTACATTAGCATCGCTAACACTCAGAGCTAACCTGTACTGGAGAGCATGTGTGTGAAGAAGCAGGAAATAAAAAGGAACTCACCTTGTGGTATAACCGGCAAGAGAGAAAGCCTTTGAGCTCCATACTGTTTCAGAGAGAATCCTTGATAATCCATGATATGGCGTTTCATCACGGCAGAATTTAGTTTAGACAGTATCTGCCGGGTCCCGCACGAGCTCAGCCCCCCGCCTTTTTTTTTATCAATTTTTTTTTGTAAAGCTTTATTCCCAAAATCAGCACTTTTGAAACAGGAAGTTAAATAGTGGGATATGAGGCATGGCTAGAATGGGTGATCTGTTTGGTATTTTGAGCAAAACACTTAATAGACATGTTTTTAATATATTTTTATATATCTGAGACCTATGCTATTGCCTAAAAATAGCATGATAGGTGACCTTTAAATAAATAGTAGTGCCATCCTGTCGGGACCTTATACAACATTTACCGTGCCGAATGATTGACAGCAGCTGGAGACGAGCAAGGATGTCCTCCAGCTTTGTACCACTGTGCTCTTCTACCAAAGGGACATTAGCACCTGAGCACCCAGCTGCAGCTGTCTTCAAAGCACAGGGGCCTCTTTAGTGGAGGGTGGTGGCAATTTTAGTTTTCCATTGTCAAACAGTTTTTAGAAATGAGGTCTCCGTGTAAGAACTTTGATTTTATGAGACATTATATCCAAATGCAAATAGAAAATGTTAAGATTCGTTACGGTTTCCCACTTACGTCCTCAAGGCGGTGAAATGTAGGTCGCTCTGAACGCTGTGTGGAGCTTTGATGTTTAATAAGGCCAGGTGTGGAGCTGAAGTGTGTGTTTGTGTGTGTGTTCAGGTGCTGTGTGTGGACGTGACCAAAGCAGACATCGATGCTGTGATCTCTGACCTTCTGCAACTCTACGACATGGAGGCCAAGTGTATCTGAAGGGCGCACATGACAGCTGATTTGTCAGTGTGTCTGGGGGCCATGGAGATCATGTGCATGCTCCATTCTGCATGTCAGTGTCGGGTTCAGGTGTGTACTTGCGTGAGAGACGGATCACTTTGTTCTTGCTCCAGTTATTCTCAGATGAGAGAAATCCCAGCTGCACTGCCGTGTCCTCCCACCGGGGAGAGACATTTCTTGCTTTGTGGTCTCCAATGCTGAAATCTAATGTCATCACACAGTTGTTGTAAATAATAATCAATAACTCCACCATATCGCATATTGAGTGGCATTGTCCTACATGTTTGTGCATAAAGATGAAAGCATGTCTTAAAGTTGAGTCCTAATTAGGATGCAGACTAGATAGATCTACATAATAACAAGGACAATTAAATGTTCCTTACTGTATCAAACGGGATTTAAAACTATCATTTAAATGGTCTTGACATTGCATATTATTATATCAAATGTAAATTTCACATATCAACGCAATCGGCCTGGCTTAGTGTTGATACTGTACTGATCATGTTTTTTGGGATATTCTAGCATATTCTGTGTTTCTTTAGCACTGCCATTTGCAGAGATGTTCTCATGGATGAACTCATAGATTGCTTATCCTTTTGGTGGAGGACCTATTGGATGAAAAAGATGTGAGCGCGCGTCCTGCTGTATTTTTTCAGACTAATGTTTCTGCTATTTAAATGTCAGTTTGAATTTAGACTGTGTATTGTTCAAATGAACTCCTCCTCTATCCTGTTTCAAAGATATATCTGCTGATGAACTATATTTTATTCTCGTCAATAATTGACATGGAAAGACCAACAATAAAATGATTTGAATACTAACAAGTATTGTACTTTAGTAGGTTTTTCTTTGTTCTTTTCTGTTTTTGGAATAAAAGCAAAAAACCACAAATAAAGCTGTCATATTATAATATTAATAATGGAGTGGGTGCATGTTCAGCCAGACTTCATGAATTAACCATCAGATGGGAAGGAGTAGTGAGGAAAGGGAAACAGAGTGACGTGAATGGATGAGGGGAAGATGGAAGCAGGGGTGAGGAGGAAAAGGAAGTAAAGAAGGAGAATAGCAAAGTGAAGGAGGGGAGCTTATCTCTGTATCATACTTCAACACTTCGCTGCATGCTCTGATCTGCTTACACATCACTTCAGCCTTCAAATGGGCTTCAGGGGAAGTCACAAGGTCACACACACACACACACACACACACACGGCCAGCTGTGTTTGTATGTCCCAATGAGTGTGTATGTTCATATCAAAATGACATGGATGTTATATTAGCCTGCAGTCTGAGAGCTGAGCGCCCTTGAACTGATAAAAGCTCTGCAGCCTTCAGCCTCAGAACGATTAGACAAGCTCCTGCACACTCTTAATGCCTAATGCATAGACAATAGATGTGTGTGTGTGTGTGTGTGTGTGTGTGTGTGTGTGTGTGTGTGTGTGTGTGTGTGTGTGTGTGTGTGTGTGTGTGTGTGTGTGTGTGTGTGTGTGTGTGTGTGTGTGTGTGTGTGTGTGTTGTGTGTTGTGTGTGTGTGTGTGTGTGTGTGTGTGTGGTGTGTGTGTGTGTGTGTGTGTGTGTGTGTGTGTGTGTGTGTGCGCGAGCATGCCTGTGGTCCATCTCCCTGCAGTGTACAGGATATCTATTAATAAGTTCATCTGATTCATCTATAAATACATTTCTCCTCTTTCTCCACGCTCTGGCTTGCTGCATAACAAGCTCTGACAGTAACCAGTCCGGTAGTGTGTGTGTGTGTGTGTGTGTGTGTGTGTGTGTGTGTGTGTGTGTGTGTGTGTGTGTGTGTGTGTGTGTGTGTGTGTGTGTGTGTGTGTGTGTGTGTGTGTGTGTGTGTGTGTGTGTGTGTGTGTGGTGTGTGTGTGTGTGTGTGTTGTGTGTGTGTGTGTGTGTGGTGTGTGTGTGTGTGTTGTGTGTGTGTGTGTGTGTGTGTGTGTGTGTGGTGTGTGTGTGTGTGTGTGTGTGTGTGTGTGTGTTGTGTGTGTGTGTGTGTGTGTGTGTGTGTGTGTGTGTGTGTGTGTGTGTGTGTGTGTGTGTGTGTGTGTGTGGTGTGTGTGTGTGTGTGTGTGTGTGTGTGTGTGTGTGTGTGTGTGTGTGTGTGGTGTCTTTACATAAATAAACTCTTATTAGTCTTCCACCAACACTCATACGCTTTGGGTGACTAATTGATTTTTGGGTTTGTGCAACAGATCAGTTTCTCCACAAAGAATCATGCAAAAATATCACTTTTCAATCTCGGGTCATTCTTTTCTTGAAATGAAACATTTCATTTGAAATAAGGGTTATAAAAATGACTAATACACTAAGATGTTTTGCATTTTGACAACATAATATGCTTTCAAGGCATAATACACAATACAATGAAAAACTGAGAACAAATAAAGTAAAAAGACTTCCGGTTTGGCTGGATATGGAATAGTCACGTTTTTGAGAGGCTCCGCTTCCTCCTCAAAAAATATATAATTTAACAATACATTTCTTCGTGAGAGGCCTGCAAAAGTCGGCAGTATAAGCTGTTGAAGCGTAACAGAGACATGGAACAAAAGTGCCGAGAAACAAACTACGACGGATGAAACTAGCGACGAGGCTAGCGCTAGCACCAGGCTGGATGCTAGCAGCGATCAGGACGAGGCTCCGACGAGGACGGACATCGTGGCAGCTATCAATCAGCTAAATAAAAATGTAGACTCGAAGTTCGAGTTGCTCAATGCCTCCATAGGTGGTCTGAAACAGTCACTGGGCGAGGTAGAACAGAGCAGAGGTGGGACCAAGTCATTGTTTTGCAAGTCCGAGTCAAGTCTTAAGTCTTTGCGCTCAAGTCCGAGTCAAGTCTCAAGTCAGGTTGGGCAAGTCAAGTCCAAGTCCTAAACTTTGACAAAACGAGTCTTAAACAAGTCATTATGTGTTTTTCACCAAATGTAATGACATAGATCAACAGAATAATACTTAATAATCAAACTGCTCTTTATTAGTCACATTAATAATGTAATAATCCATTTTCTCTCTGCTGGTAAAGTAACGTGTATTTTTCTAATTTAAGAGGGATCAGTAAGGTAAGGCTACCGTGACGGTTTGATTCAGAAGGAGTTTAATGTATAAGATCCCTGATGTTGAGGTAACCAGAATGTTTATTTCCACTGTGTACAACATGTTATAAGGGACCTACAATCTATCTTTATGCAAGGGATAATTTGCAGCCAGGCGGTCTCTATGGGGAAAAGAACACCTGCATCTAGATCCCTCTGCAGGTGGTACTTTAAGTATATTTTGATGATAATACTTTTGTACTTTTACTTGTAACATTTTGAATGCAGGACTTTTTATTGTAACCGAGTATTCCTACACTCTGGTACTTTTACTCAAGTACAAGATCTGAACTTCTCCCACCTCTGACAGTAAATCCTGAGTGGTTACTAGTGCTGTAGACTTCAAAATATCGTCGACGACATATTTCCGCGTCGACGCGTCGCTACACACACGTGGGTCACCCAAAGCAACAAGCAGTTCGCAATCGCACTTCAAACACAATGGAGACTGAAACGGCTACCACCTCCTCCTCACAGGATTGCGCACGAAGCCCCCAAACGAAAACATCTCGCCCTAGGTCTTCAAAAGCATGGGAATATTTTAAAGTTAGTCCAAAACGCAAAGATATTTATATATTTATATCTCACTAAGACTGCTGCATAGCCTAGCAGAAGCAGCAGCTAGCTGTGGTGGCTACCATTAGCAGCTAGCATTTGCTCTCCGATTTTTTACATAAAATGGAATTATGGATTATAAATTCAATCATTTTTTTATACATAGTCGTTAAAAACCTATGGATTAACCGATTCAGCCGCGTTTTTTCTCATTTTAATGCCATTGAACACGTCTTTTGATCAGATTGACAGCTACGGTGGTAAGACGATCTCCCTAGAAGCTCTGTGAAGGTACGTGTTGTGATGACTGTATTTGCTTCCCCTGTCGCGAGTCCGGATCACTCAGTGATGATACTATATACCTACATAATCTGTGGAGTCTCAGCTTTAATCGGATATCTTGTATGTGCAGCTACGATAAGTAATAATAAGGGTACTTTTATCTTGAGTTCTGTGCCAATGTCCGTTAGCATTTTTCGCTCAGGGGTCATTTAGATGCTTCTTATGAGACTTGTATTTTGTTTTGGTAAACATGGTTTGTATCGTCAATTAGCTGAGATTATTTCCGTTAATCTGGTATAACACATTAATAGGTTCTTAAATATTAAGATCCCCTGAGACACAGTATCGTGAAAAAAAATTTTTTTACATAACGTTTTTTTTACATTACGTTTTTTATGAAATGAACAACAGAAAAATAATCGTTCGACTAATCGATCAAATAATCGCCCGATTAATCGTTTTCAAAATAATCGTTTCCCCCCAGCACTAGTGGTTACCAAATTAAAGGTAACCTAAAAAGGGTATTTTAATTTTACAAATCCTGCACTCAGCTTTGCTTTCTCCAATATCATTGAAAAGCAGCCAGATGCTGCTTCTTTTTTCGGTTTTCGCTAATTTCTTGACTTTTCCCGACGCACTTGCATTTAAATCCGTCTCCCCGTCGCTCTGTGCAGCTGGCCTGTACCACTACACCTGCTGTGCCCCCCACCCTTCTTTCACATAATGGTATGATCCTAATGTGTCCTCGCATATGATTGGCCGCATGGTGGCCCAGCTAAATAAAGACCCGCCCCTGCCTACAAGGATTCTCAGCAAGAGTAGGAGCGGCTGAAGATTCTGCTCTCCCCGACGGGAGTCTGCTCTTCAAGCGGCATCTCGCGATCGGCGTGTTGGAGACCTCTGAATTAAATGATCAAGTCACCTCAAGTCAGAAGGCTCAAGTCCAAGTCAAGTCCCGAGTCATTGGTGTTCAAGTCCAAGTCGAGTCGCAAGTGTTTTGTGATTTTGTCAAGTCGAGTCTCAAGTCATCAAATTGGTGACTCGAGTCTGACTCGAGTCCAAGTCATGTGACTCGAGTCCACACCTCTGGAACAGAGAGTAATCTCTACAGAAGGTGGACTGAACGAACACGAGACCCGAATCAAAGCTTTGGAAGACCAGTGCTCAAGATGGGCTGAGGAAGCCAGGTCGCTCAACGAGCAGGTGGACGACCTCGTCTCGCGCTCCCGACGACAAAACATTTGGATAATAGGTGTTAAGGAAGGCATGGAAAAGGGCAACCCAACAGACTTTGTTTTCGAAATTGATACCAGCACTACTGGGGAAAGTTAACTTCGACAATAAACCTGTTAAGGTTGACCGCACACACAGGGTCCGTGTACGGGCAGCAGCAACAGATGGCCCTCCTCGTCAACTAATCGCCCGCATCCATCATGACTCAGCAAAGGACCTGATACTGAGACTTTCCTCACATAAGTTCCCTTTACAACATGATGGAGCACGCATCTTTATTTTCCCGGACCTGGGCCCAGCAGTGATGAAACAACGGCAGCAGTTCGACAACACCAGGACCAGGTGCAGGTCTCCGGGGGTGAGATGTGGGTTCCGTCACCCGGCTACTTTCGTTGTCACGGTCGGCGAAGATAAGCGCACGTTTAACAACCCGAAGGATGCTGAGAAGTTTCTGGATGACAAACAAGTGTCACGTTAGACCAGCTAACCAGGATTAAGGACAACGTTGATAGTTAACTTTAAAGCTGAGACACATTTGATTACTTAAAGCTCTGCAGGTGAGGAGGAAGCGGACATGTACGTGTTCTATTATGGTATCTTACGAGCTCTGGAAGTTTGGACTTGGGGGTGTTAGTTCTCAGAGGGGAGAGGGAGGCAGA